TCCAGACCACCGGGGACTTCACCAAGAAGACGGCGGACACATCCAAGGTCAGCATTGAGACTAGAGATGCATCCACCCAGACCAGAGGACGCCGGCATTATCCTTGGAGTGGGCCCGTGGTTGTGATCGACAATGGACTCAGAGATTGCTCTGTCCACACCACTGGGGACTTCACCAAGAAGACAGACACATCCAAGGTCAGCATTGAGACTAGAGATGCATCCACCGAGACCAGAGGACGCCGGCCTTATCCTTGGAGTGGGCCCGTGGTTGTGATCGACAATGGACTCTGAGATTCCTCTTTTTGGTAATTGCTCAGAGTTTCGTTTCTTGATTTAATACTTGTTTCGTCTTTCAATCGAGACAAATAATCCGTGCGAAAATCTCACAATACAGTGCACCCCATTGTATCAGAAAGAGGCTACAGTGAGCAAGAAAAAAAACTGACAGATTCATTGACACACACACACCCACAGAGGAAATACACCGCGTGAAATATTTCCTCCAAAGTTATTTGACTGAACTTCAGGATCCACATCAAGATCAAATTATGCCTAAAGTCAACGTATTATAGACTGTCAAACGATTTCCCAAGGCTTTTTTATTGTAACCTCACTGAAACAACGTGGTTGTCTCTGATGGTGGCATGCTGACCATGTGGAAACATTTTTTATAAGCGAATTCACAATTTCAACCCGTAAATTGTTTTGAACCTGAGTTCTTAGCGAAAGATTCAATAAAATTGTACTTTACGTTGCCGTGGAGAGGCCGAGTCCCATGCAGAGTCCGCGGCCTCGCCTAGATTGCCCAGCCAGAGGAGGTGACACATGGCCAGACTGGGGGCTGGGCCGCTCTCCCCACCCGTGCTGCAATAATGCTATGTAAGCGCTGTAATATTAATATCTACGGACTTTATATCAGTAACTGCACGCATTGGGCTGGGGGGAGGGGAGAAGAGGACATAAGACTGTGAACCTCAGCGTTTTTTGTGTATATTTTTTAAGCATTGTTAACGCGAATGACATTTTTTTAGCAATCGTGTGTGCGTTGCTCGGGGCAACTCTTGTTAGTGTTTCGCGCATGCGCAAATGCGTGCTTTGTCCCGCGCCTGGCGGAAAAATTATATAAATAAATCTAGAGAAATCACTAAAAACGCTGTTTATTGTTTTATATTTTTTATTTTATTGTTTCCCTTCTACGTGACTTTACCGAAAGAACTATTTTAACAAATGTAAAGGTAACGGATGGGCAAAACGGAATAGCGCTGGCTCACCACGGGGCTTACGGCGTGGTTCCCCGGCTATTGTTTTTTTAAACGTTAACCCCACGGTTCGCGAGCGCACGTACGCAGACGGACAGACGGACAGACACACAGACAAAAAATGCCTTTAATAGGTAAGAAGCTAGATATTTGTGTAGGTTAAAAACGCCGCGGCGCCCTAAACTGTGGAATCAGCTCGCACAAAAAGCAGGCACCACGTGTCTAAGGCGCCACTGACAAACTTCTCAAAGACTGCGAGTTAAACGAAGTTGTTAATAAAACCGTTGTTTAAAAAAAACTTTTTAAAAGGAGTTTATTTACTGTGTGTTTTGAAGAAACGATAGTGGCAGTGATCGAGTGTTAAGAGGGTTGTAACACATCTGTTACGATTGACAACTACAGCCTTTTTCGGCTTGACCGAGGATCTAAAGGAGGTGGAATTGCCATCATTGTTCGTAATACTATTGCATGTTCACCAGCTCACTCCTTGTTTAAAAAATGTTGCTTTGAAGGTTTGGCTCTCAGAATAACTCTCCCAAATAATCAACATATATTGGTAGTGTGCTACTATAGACCGCCTAGTGGGAAGGATGTTAAAGCTGCATCTGCACTGAGAGAGCTTTTTGGGGGCCTCCCTAAAGGTGAAATAGTTTTAGTGGGTGATCTAAATTGGAATTGGCTAAACCCGCCGGCCGTGGCCACAAATTTTACAGATGAATTTAACCTGTTTCAATTAATAAATGTCCCCACAAGACCCAACCTAAAAAATCCGGGACAGTCAACTCTGCTTGATGTCCTATTGACAAATGCCCCTCACAATTTCGTACTGACTGGTGTTCTGGGTAATAACCTTAGTGATCACTCCTTCATTGTTGGGGTGAGATCATCAGCCAGACCCAAAGTCCCCCCTAAAATTGTTGAGAAGCACTCTTTGAGGCACTTCAGCACTCAGGCATTTACTAATGGTGTGCTTCACGCGGATATTGACAAGGTCTGTGATATCCCCAACCTGACTACGGCTTGGGAGACTTTCAGGTACACATTTCTCCAAATTCTTAACAAACATGATCCATTGGTTAGATTTAAAACTAAAGGCAACCGCCCACCGTGGCATGATCCTTTGATTACAAAGCTCATGAAAACTAGGGACAAGGCTTGGGCATGTGCTCAGAAAAGTAATTTGGTAAATGACTAGCTAGAATACAGGATTTTAAGGAATAAATGCATCAAAAAAATACGGTATGCAAAAAATGCCTCATTTTCCTCCACTCTCCTGGAATCACATGGAAATGCCAGGATTTTTTGGAAAACAATTAAATGTATCGAAAAGACATCCAAAACAGACAATCTGCCCGTTGAGCTTAAACGAAATGGGGAATATTTTTCAGATCCCAAAAAAATAGTTGACAATTTTAACCTTCATTTTTCTGAAGCTGGTAATCTTTTTGATAATGTATTGGGAGTCACCCCTGCTCATGCAAATTCCTACACCCCTGTCCAAACATTAAACGAATTTAGTTTCCAGCCAATCCACGAAAGTAATGTTCTGAAACAACTGTCCTACCTCAAAGGGCCCTCCTCTACCGGAGCAGATAGTTTTCCCGTCTTTGCTCTACTGTTGGTCATCTAATATACAAACCTATAGCCCATATTTTCAACCTGTCCATCAAAGAAGCATCAGTTCCTCTAGAATGGAAACATTCCTATGTCTGTCCACTTCACAAAGGGGCCCTAAAGATGATCCCAATAACTACCGACCTATCTCAATTTTGTCCCCATTGATGAATTTTTTTGAAAAATTATTGAACTACCAAATTAGCAGTTTCCTGTCCACCAACAATCTACTACATCTAAAACAATCTGGGTTCCGAAAAAAATACAGCACCACATCTGCTGCATTAGACTCTCTGAATCAAATTTACAGTAGCCTTGATAATAAGCAGTACTGTGCCTGTCTTTTTCTTGACCTGTCCAAAGCTTTTGATACCGTAGACCACAACACCCTACTTATTAAACTAAGTTGCCTCAGTTTTTCCGAAAACACAGTAAAATGGTAAAAAAAAATACCTCTTTTCTCGCACCCAAACTGTATTTACAGATGGTTGGAGGTCAAACAGTGTAAAGATAACAAAAGGGGTTCCACAGGGTTCCATCCTCGGCCCCCTCTTGTTCTCTCTTTGTGTCAATGACTTGGGCACTGACCTGGATCATTCCAGGGTAAATCTTTTTGCAGATGACACGATACTGATTACTGCTGGCCGCTCTCCGGATGACGTGATTGCTAAGCTCCAGGGTGACTTCAACAAACTACAACATCAGCTAGTTGCTCTTAAACTAGTCCTGAATACCTCCAAAACCAAGGTGCTATGCTTCTCACTAAAGTAGGAAGTTATTTTTCCCCAATTACATTCCTCAAATAATTATCAAATAGAGCAAGTAAAGATCTATAAGTATCTTGGGGTCATCCTGGATTCAAAACTGAATTTTAAAGATCACATTGATTATATTGGTAAAAAGACAAAAATAAAAATTGGTTTTCAGTATCGACACAAGCACTGCTTCCCCCCAATGTTCCGTTTGGAATTTATAAAAGCTACCATACTGCCTCTACTTGATTACTGTGATATCGTGTATAAATCAGCCCCAAGTACTGTACTGAAGAAGCTTGATTCCATCTATCACTCGGCCTTAAGATTTGCATTGAACTGCCCATATAGGACTCACCACTGTGATCTCTACATTGGGTCAAACTTAACATCTCTTAATGTTCGACGGCTTGTGCACCAGATCTTATTTGTTCACGATGTACTTACAAAAAAATCCGCAGACTACCTGCTGGATCTCCTCTCTATTTCAAAGAACAAATTTGACCTCAGGTCTTCGCTCATTTACCAGCTTCACATTCCCTATTGCCGTACAAAAACCGGAGGAAGGGCCTTTGCTATTGATGCCCTCAGGGTCTGGAATGCTATTGCCAATAAACTGCAACTTGAATCACTACCTATGAGATCTTCACTCAAAACCGCTCTAGAGGAGTTGCACACCCCTAGCTGCCACTGCTATTCAGTGGCCTAAAATAAAATGTTTCGCTCCGGATGACCGCTGCAAAGTATTATCGGTATTTTGATTTAGTGTGCTGATCTTAAAGGTGCATTGAAAAATGATACTCCGACTGATGCTCCTGTTGTTGTGGAGTGACTCATGCAGCCAGCTATGGCTCTAGGATTTGGTGTTACATGTTATTTATGTAGTTTATTGTTAAAAATTCGGTCACAGTCCCTATGATCACTGTTACATTGCATTTATGGCTTTATTTTTTATTTCAAAAAGTTTTTGGGTTTGGCCATGTTTTTGTTTATTGTAGTATGGAGTTAGACTGATGGCCTTAATCTTAGTTGTCTTGTGGTTGTTGTTGTTTGACTTGCATCCCACTGGGATTTTTGCACACAGCGTTGGTGTACGGTGCTATTTCAGGAATATTTTGATGTTTTTTCCTGGATTTTCTGTTTGCACAGTCACATTGTTACTTTAAGATGTTTTCTTGTTCATGCTTTTTGTTGCGGTTGCACCCGATTCAAGAGCCGAATGGCTCACAGGGCTCTACCTAATAAATGGAACTATGATGTTCACTTCATGGTATATTTTTAAGAGCGTGTGGTTATTGAAATCCTTGTTCACGTTTATCAACCTTTATTTAATTATTGCTATTCGTAAATGCAACGTGTAATCAGACGGGTACCTTCGCATCTTCCAACCCACACTCCTCCCAAAAGTAGGCCGACAATAACACCGAGTGATTGCCCCGTCATGTCGCCAAATCTGCAGTCTCCACAATAACACCTGCAAAGGGGGTAACGGTGAAATGAGGAACTCCAATACAGGGAACGAATTACACACTACTCTTTCGTTTTTTCGGTAAAGTCACGTAAGTATAAAATAAATCATAAAATAACTTTAATTAATGTGATTTAATTTATTTTATACCTACGTGACTTTACCGAAAGAACCAAAGAGTATGGATCCCTGCAGTCACGAAAACTTCAAATCAAGATTGAATTACACATTGCAGTTATGTTCCAGATGTCCGTTTGCAAGTCGATTTGTTCGTAAGTCCAACTTAACTACTCCTGTCGATTACAAACATGTTGTATGGCATGTACACTAAACACGGGGAATGGTTTTAACTGTTGAATAATATCCTGTAGATGCCACTGGTTCTTCACGTTGTGCAGATGTAGATGCCACCACCACCGCCATCTATCGCGCGGCGGTTGAACTTACGACTCTCGATCCGAACGGGCAACTGGACAAGTTTGTTCGTATCTCTGTAAGTTCGTAAGTCGATTGTTCGTAAGTAGAGAGGCGTCCGTGTACGTGTGTACACAATCGTTTGTACTGCATTCAATATTCAGTGCGTGATTACAAGTTCACTCCTTTAAGTTATTGGTGAAGTATGGCCAAACGGCCAGCACGTCGACGGGTGATTGACACTCGTCATCCAGCAGTGGCTTGACAAAGTCTCTACGTTGGCAAGTAGCAACAAAAACTCAACACGACCGTCAATAACACTGCGGCCTTAAAAGGGGGGGGGGGGGAAGAAACCGTACGGGCGACGTTTCGGCCAATTACCCTTCTTCAAAGCCAGTGGCGTGCATCGCCTGTTGCCATTCAAGTCGCAACAGTGGACACCTCCTTACGTGCCACGCGAATATCGTCTGCGTGTCCGCCGTTGACGGATGCGCACGGCCACTTGCAACCGTGTTCACGGGCTGCGACCGGCCCCCAGCAAGCGAAGCGAAGCCCTATGCTGCCTGTGTTAGTTAGCGTGTTGCCGGGGTGGGTGGTGGGAGCTCAAGGTTCAACTCCGGTCCCCGGGGTTTGTCGTAGGGAAGTACAGGGCGGACGTGCGGGAGAGAGAGAGAGAGAACGAGAGAGAGAAGCGACGGTGTGTCATCGCGTTGCGGGGTGACTCAGCCACCAGCGGCTGACGGATGACTCCCCACCGGCCAAGGAGACCGACGAGGAGCGAATGCAGAAGAAGAGAGGAAGAAGACTACGATAGGCGGACGGGCGAGAGGCCGTGGAGCAAAGCAGCAGCAGGAGGAGGAGGGCGAGAGACCTTCAAGGTGCAGTGGAGATGAGGCCACGGCCGGGTAAGCGGTGGTGGTGGTGGCGGTGTTGGCGGTGTTGCAGTCACTGCTTCTTCCTGAATCGCGTCGTACAAAAGAAAAGGGGTGAGGCGACTGCCCCCGTGTGGTCTGAGCTCTTAATAAAGTATTAAAGCTGTCGTGACCGCATAAAATTACTCATTGGTTTTTTCGGTAAAGTCACGTATGTAGAAATACAATAGAATTATATTAAAACAAAAAAAAACAATCACGACGTTTCGATCACAACGCATGATGAAGATCGTCTGAGCTCTTGTTTGGATTTTTTGTTTGTTTAAAAAAACAAAAAAATATCATCCCCTTTATTATGCTGCGTCGCGTTTAGGATTAGAGGAATTTATTTCACATTGTTTCAGCACCACCGTCGCCGATACCTCCAGAAACCCAGGGATCCGTCAATTCTTAACGATTCTGTGTCGCTATTTAAGGACATATTTGGCGGGGGTGGAGGGGGGGGGGGAAAGACAACATGCCAAACGTTGGGCCAACGTTGGGCATGTGGTTGGAACCGTTGAACCAACGTCGGCTCAACGTTGATCCAACAGTTACATTATTTATTGTGTTGTATCATCCATGGCGTCAGCCTAGCCCTGTAGTGTCTTTCTCAGTTGGACTATTTGTCTCCTCTACACAGCAGTCAACCCATGCCGTTTATACCCCCGTATTCTTGTACAGGGAAATTGTGTTTTCAGGTCCATACGGCGGCGTACAGCCGTTTCAATACGGGCAACAACAAAAAAAGTGTCTGTGTGTTTGAGTTTCTCCCTTGTGATGGGACTTTGTAGGATGAACTTTGAGATTTATAAGGGGCACGGGGTGATCAATAAGGTGCGAACTGGTCTGTAATGAGGTAGGGCACTGATAATGGGTTGACAGGTTTTGCGTGTAAATTCCCTTGTCTGTATTCTCCCGCCTAATTTCTGCCCTCTCGTTTGTAATGTTGTACCCACTGCCTGCTGTCTCGTTTGGAGTTTCGTTTGCTTGGTATTGCCTTGTTAATTACTGCCTGGGGTCCGTTCCGTTGTCTAATCTTTCCTGTTTGTATCTCCTGGCTAAAATGCGATCATAGATTAAATGCAACACATTTAAAGTGTATTGTAAACGTTTTGGTTTAAAAAAATATATTCTAATGAACCCATATCGTTTTTGGTCTACTTAATTTAAAAGGTCGCTTTTATATTTTAATGAAAACGTATATCCAGTAATCTATGTACACGAAACATGGTCGACATGTACCGTATACTTTATAACAGGGCGTGACAGATGCAACCACCTCCATCAATGGAAAAATGATGGAGCGCGCCACGGTGGCGAGATGTAAAATTCCTTGGCTGGTATGTAGGAGGTCGTGGGTTTGATCCCGACCCGTGGTCGCGTGGATTTTTCTCCGGGTCCTCCGGTTTTCCCCTCATTCATGACATGTGTTTGGAGTATTTGGCTAGTTTTAACACGTAGGCTTTCGCGACCAATATCAGTTTTTTGGGTTAGATATATTTCAAATGTGTGGCGGCCCTCGTAAATATATTTACGCGATCTAACCCAAAAAAATCATGTTATTTAAGTATTTGGCTACTATATCTTCACGTAAGTCACTTCGTTGAGCCATCATTATGTATGGCCAGGTCGCTTCAGAAAAAAGAGCTATATAGCTCAGTGGGTCTTACCAAATAAAATAAAAATTTGTTTCGTTTATATTTTTAGATTAAGAGCAGTCCGCAATGTGAGAGCCAGACCGTGGATAACGGAATCCAACACTGCCCCCAGACCCCGCCGATTTACGGGCAACATCACAACCTCCACTAAACCTCGAGCCCAGAGGTTATCAATGTGTAGTCCCCTGCATCACCAGTGGGGGGCGACGGTCCTCTATAGCAGCGGTCCCCAACCCCAGACCGGTACGGGTCCGTGGCCTGTTAGGAGCCAGGCCGCACAGCAGCAGCAGGAGGTGAGAGCGGTGAGCCCGCACGTGGCCCGCCCCCATTATTTTATTATTCACCACTTCCGTGCGCGCCTCTTTCCCGCACTGCGCACTTGTCTCAGTCACAGTGTTGGTAAGCCCACAAGCTCTAATCCCTAGTAGCCAAAATGAGTAAAAAACAAACGTCGCTGGAGAGCTTCTTTGAAAAGGGGGAAAAACCCAATGATGAACCACACCCCCCCCCCGTCCGTGAAAAAATTGTCTTCCATGAAACCGGTCCCTGATGCCAAAAATGTTGGGGACCGCTGCTCTAGAGGACTTCCACGTGACTGCGCTGCAAGATTAATGCAGTTTGATCCGGATAATGACAAAGTTTATACCCTTTGTTTCGGACATTAATATTTTACTTTTATTTCAATAAAAAATGAAGTTAGGTAAACTACCCCGATTGAACGCCCCCACCTAAAAAAACAAACCTTAAAGCTGCGTAAGAAAATGTTATCTTCCAGTAATATTAACAATTGTGTTACTGGTTATTTAGAGAGAAGCTAATGTGTTTTGCCACCAGGGTTGGAGGGCTGGGTTGTCCGCGGGCCAAAAAATGTTGAGAAACACCTATAGATCAGTGTTCACTAATTGTGGGGGGGGGGCACTTTTGCCGGTGCGAGGGCCGCCATATATTTTAAACCATTGTGTATTGTTGGGGCTCGCACGTCAGGAACCACACTAAAGGCCACCAGGGGCCACCAGTGGCCCACGGGCCTTGCAATGAAGAACACTGCTCTTGAGGCTAAATTACCTCGATAAACATATAGCTCTGCTCATTTCACCTTGCCGCATGAAATAATAATTTGGAAAAAATGTCAATTTCTTGGTATTAAAATAAATGGCAAAATCATTCAGCTTTATTTATTAACATAAAATAAACAACAACAACCGCCATTCGCCACTAAGTGGCGGTGACGTCACCAGGACGCTTGTGCCAGGCCATGTGCACCTTGAGGCCACGTGAAGTGTCAAACGCCTGCTGGCAGGTCACGGGGCAGACCCAGGTGCCACAGGTCGACTGACTGAGATGACTGGCTGATGCACCACCTGTGCCCCCTACTGTGCCAACCTGCTGTGCTTTAGCCACTCAGCGCTCCGCTCGTTGTTGTGAGCGTCGCTCCTCCGCCCTCCGTTGTTGTTGGAGGGCGACTGCCTCCAACTGCCCAGTAGCGTCCTTCACGAGCCTCCTCCACAGAGGCCGATCTTGACACCGCTGGTACCAGTCATCGGCAAGTCCACTCAGCTCCACGTCCTCCTGTACCACATTACTCCATCTCTTCTCTAGCCCGTGCCGCGCCCGTTTAGCCCCCTCGATCCGGCCGAACAAAAGCTGTTTTGGCATGCGGTGGCTGGGCATGCGGGCTACATGACCCAGCCAACGCAGCCTTGCCTACCGGAGGAGCTCGCCGATGGGACCTTGCCCAGATCTTTCAAGGATTTGTGAGCTCCTCACACAATCCAGCCTGGTTAAACCCAGGATGGATCGTAGGCAGGCTAGCCTAAATGTTTCTAACCGGCGAAGATGTTCCATTAAGGGGGTCCACGTTTCGCAAGCGTAGAGAAGGGAGGGAATGGCCGTGGCAGAGAAGACCTGAAACTTAGTGTGGAGTGACAGACCAGGTAGCTTCCACACAGCGTTACGCAACCGATGAAAAGATATTGCTGCTCGACTGATTCGGAGTGAGACCTCTGCTGTTAAACTGGAGCCAGTCATAAGCACACTGCCCAGGTATGGGAAACTCTCCACTCTCTCCACAACTGCCCCATCACCGATTGGGAGTTGTGGGGGTGGAGTGTCCGATGGTACAAAATACCCAGGCAGGTGCTTAGTTTTGGTGGGGCTGATGGTAAGGCCCCATCTCTTAGTGGCACGCTCCAGTCTCAGCAGCAGCGTCTCCAACTCCTCCTCTGAATGAGCAACTATTACCAAATCGGCATACATAACGTGGTTGAGCAATAGGGAGCCATCCCTTGACTGCACCCGGGCATCGATCAGCCTCCCATTATATCTGTACCAAATGGAGATTCCCCCAGTACAGCTATTGAAGGCTTCACGAACTACGTGGTCAAAATAGATGTTAAATAATGTGGGAGCCAGAGGACATCCCTGTCGCACCCCAAGGTGTACAGGGAATGGCTCTGACTCCCAGCCACGTAGTTTTACCCGGGCCCGCTCACCATCATGAAGGTCCTTAATGATCGTGAGAAGGGGGTCAGGGACTCCAAAAGCACGAATAACAACCTAGAGCTCAGGCCTACTGATGGTATCATAGGCCTTGACCAGGTCAATAAAGCAGAGATGTAGGTCTTGTTGGAATTCCCTACACCTCTGCTGTAGCAGACAGACAGAAAATATGGCATCTGTGCAGGACCGCCCTTTCCTGAAACCGCATTGGGGCTCCGCAAGCCTCTCCTTAGCGTGCCTGGCAAGGCGATGTTGAATAATCCTTGCCAGGACCTTTCCCGGCACACTGAGGAGTGAGATGTCCCTGTAGTTGTTACAGTCTGTGCGGTCCACCTTCTTAAAGAGGGGGACCACCAGGGCATCCTTCCAATCCTGCGGAACCCGTCCAGTGGTCCAGACTGTTGTTATGATGTCATATAGGGCAGTCTGTGCACAAACGCCACCCTCCCTCAGCATTTCGCTTGGGAGATCATCTCTGCCCGGTGCCTTTCCTGGTCTCAGACTCCGGATCACCTTCAGTACTTCCTCAACAGATGGCACCTCAGCCAGCCACTCACAGGGGGTGACTTCTTCCAATATTTGAGGCACCGCAGCCTCAGCAGGGTCATCCCCACTTTGTGCCACGATGTTTTCCTGGCTGAGGGGTTTCCCCTCCCCCAGGACCTCACAGAAATGCTCAGCAAATCTGCAAACCTGTTCCTGGGGGTCGGAGATTGGAACACCGTTTTTTCCCCTAATGATGGTAATAGGTGTGGCGCTGCAGGTTACTTTTTTGATGGAGTTAAATAGAGATTTGTGATCGCGGGCCACTGAGGCAGACTCCATCTCCTCAGCAATCCGCGACCACCACCCATCCTTGCAGCGCCTCACGGTTCTCCGAACCTCCGAGCGAAGGCTCCGGTAAGCCTCCTCATTCTCTGATGTGGGAGTCTGTAGCCGATGACAGTGGGCCTGTCGCGTTTTCTCAACTACCCTGAACACCTCCTCTGTCAGCCAGGCTCTCTGGGGAGGTCTGGACCGCGTACCCAAAGCAGCCATTGCAGCTGCATGAGTCACAGTCCTAAACCTCGCCCATTTACCTTCGACATCAGGAGTGGGGGACGATGCCAACCCCAGCCACAAGCGATTATGAAATTCTCACTTGCAACTTTCATCAGCTGAGACCAGGCCATTTTAGGTTGGAATGGGGTCCTGGGTGTACACCCACCACCAGAGTGAAAGAATGGCAGGCGAATCTTACAGATGACTAGTCGATGGTCAGAGGGCAGATCAGCTCCACAGTAGGTCCTGGTGTCAAGGACATGGGCTCGCATCCACTGGTCCATCACTATGTAGTCCAGCAGATGTTCTTGCTTGGACCAGGCATGTATCCATGATGTTGTGTGGATGCGCCGATGCCGGAACAGCATGTTGGTAATTACAAGCCCATGGGCTGCACAAAAATCTAGCAGCCTCCTACCGTTGTTATTGAGCTGATCTGGCCCATGCCCTCCAATCACTCCAGACCAGGTGCCAGCATCATGACCAACTCGGGCATTGAAGTCACCCAACAAGATGATTCTATCCCGAGGAGCCACTGTAGCCAGCACCTGTGACAGGATATCATAGAATGCATCTGACCCATCGGCTTTGCCTGCATCCCTCCACGGATATTCGTCTTCGGTGGGGGCATAAGTAACCACGACCACCACTCCTCGCCTCCGGTTGATGGGAAGGCGAGCCCAAAGTAGCCTGGGGCTTACGGCTTCCCACATCTCATCGCCACGCTCCCACGCACCCTTCATTCTTTTGTTCAAAAGAAGAGCCACACCCTGTTGTTTGGCAGTCTGCTGCCTCGAGTAGAGGACTGTCCACCCCTCATGGTGGCAGGAGCCAGAACCGGTCCAACGGGCCTCTTGAATGCCACAGAGATCCAGGCGGTACCAGTCCAGCTCCCAACAGAGGAGTGGCAGCCTCTCCTCCGCAGTGAGCGTTCGAACATTCCACGTGGCCACACGAAGTAGCTTTTCGTTTTTTTCTGGAGGAGCCCCGAGGGTAGAGGTTCAATCGCCTGGCTCCGCCAATTGGGGTTTGGCCAGGAGACGTCATAGACGCCTGTCCCCCCGGGGCCTCTGGCACAAGCTTATTAGTTATATATTTAAGTCGTGGTTTCGTCCAGAGCCCATAAAATAAAAGGCACTTTACCACCACTCACACTGAGATTGTATTAAAAGGCTGAGTGCTATATTATTGGCCTACTTTCGTCATCCTCTAATCAAGTAATCAATGCCTTAAATGAGCTGAAAATTTAGATGGAACAGACATCCAGGGATGGGCCAGGTGATTTCCCACTCGTGGCCCAAAGAACACACATGGGAGAAACCAACACTCAAAACCTTTATTTTCGCTCAACGTTTTATAACCCACGTATTTTGAAGACATTGTTCAACACCTCCAGCGTAAATAATGATCACGTGTCAATGTGTCAGTGTTTAGTCTACACCAGCGTTAATTCACAAAACTGCAATTATACATCCATGTCTGTTGTTAAAATTATCTCCACTGTTGATTGATGCGAGAGGAATTAAACAAGTTTGCAATGTTTGAATTAAATGTATAACAAGGTGTACAGTCGCACGTTCCAAAGACAGTCCAGAGCCTTGAACGTTATATCTGCATGTAATCTACAACTATTAATTGATCAGAATGACCAATGGAGGACGGAAACGTATCCACATTGATCTCTGTGCCTAATCTACATTAGCCCAAGGCATATTTCAGACAATGGAGGTTAATTTCACTCATCAATTTCGACTTATTCCAGATGTTGCTCCCATATAATTTCTATTAACAAAAAAAAAAACCCATATACTCTCACATTTTTTTTTAAACCCATCAGTACAGCGAGTCTGCTTTGCAGCAGGTGCTTTTAACAAAAATACTGTAGTACTGGCTACATGGCAACGTAATTGCATTGATCATAAGTATATGTTTTTTGTAAATACTTGGCAGTTATGGCAAAGAGCAATATCGTCTTTAAAACTCCCAATTGTCTTATGCACAAGCTCTAAAATGTTCAATGGCAATGCCAATGGTTCATGTGCATGTAAACATTTTATTATTTTAAAGCGCTTGACACCAATGTTATATATATTGTCATGGTATCTGTAGCATCAGTAAAGTGCATTAAATACTACAGTATAGACAGTAATCTAAGTTGTGAATTTGCATTTGCTGATGAAAATGTAAGCAGAACTGTCAGAATTTTGAAAGTACAATGCCGTATGTATGCAAGTACGTACACAATACCCTAATAATTTGAATAACCAGTATAAAACGTTGCCCAAATATAACCACATGGTCTACGCAGAAAATGGGTCAAATATTAAAACACATCCAAACACTTGCAATGTTTTTTTTTATATATAAATATATGAATACTGTAAGCAATGTCCAATTAAACCTTTAATATAAACACAGTACTGCACCATATTTTTGGTAATATTATTTAGTATTCAATAATGAGGGCTGAACTTTACAAGCATGAAAGATGTTTTTGTTATTAAAAAAAACAATGCTAATGATGAAAAATAAAATTCAATATCTGTACATATTATCGCAGATCTACGAATTTAAGCTGTGTCCATGCAGGCGTATACGTGACACTGTAAAGGTTTCGGCGCACCTGTGGCATACGCCACGGGTCAGGCATGGCGGAAAAAATCTTCGATCCGATGTGAAGTACAGGCAGATGTCACGAGCATAGGGTTTAACATCCAATTAGCATATGATCGCATGAATCATCCGACTCTCCTGGAGGGGACAGAGCTAAATATACACACTCAAGTGTTAGTGGGAGGCAATGCTGCTAAGAGCATCAGCCTAAATTAGGACATCCGTAATGCATGCATTGTCTCAGGCTTCCCAGCTGGTAGAGAACAATCTTTATATATAATCCAATAAGGCATCCTAGATAGCACTCAAATTGCATGGACCCTGGAAACAAACTCCCACCAACTGCACCAGGCAAGTGAAAGAGAAGAGCCTCATTCATAGCTTGGATTATGCCAGGTGGTGGTTTTACATTTTAAGAGACAACTCCAGTCATCCAAGGTAAAGATGTTGTCTCAGTACAAGATCCTACCGTGTCTTCAAACTTCACTCTCTGCTAACAACACACCCACGCACTCTCCCTGGTGGAGATACCGAGGCTATCTTGTATTAAACTACTATGTGATTAACTACAGTATATAGTTTAAAACATGACTTATTATCCTGTGCCACATTTTCAATACGTTGTGATTTTCTTTAGCCGTAACTAATACTCAAACAATGAGTTACACATTATATCATCAGATGACATCTGTTAGCACATCAATGACATTTGCGCCCTAAAATGCTGCAAGGACTAATGCGGTGGCTTACGATGAACACGTCACCTTCCCAGGAGGTCTGCTGGGATATTTTCAATCCTGCAACCTCAGGTCTCCAGGCTCTTTCGAGAACGTGGAACTCCACTGACCCTTATAGAGTAATGTACTCCAAACGCACACATTCTAGTGTCTGTGCAAGGTCATACTTACACATATCCAATCCGTTCAGGCTTAGCACTTACAACGAATCTCCTTACTCAAGCCTCGCCGGTACATACGACACTTCCGCCGCTTATAATACACGGGAGACTGTGGCCAATCGACAGTGCTCGCACCTCCATAACAAACAAGGATGACCATCGCTGGCATCGGCCGTCTCACTTCACACACTCACGGTTCACCACCTTTTCCTTGCGCGCTAGGTTTTCTACCCTGGGAGAGACCTGACCTCTGGCTTTGGCGCGATCACGATCGTCCGCTTTGCCCATTACGAGTTCGCCATTCACAGCGCCTTCGCGCACGCACTCCGGGTTTCCGCCAACGGCGCCCGTCGGCACGGAGAGATGCTCCACGTTTGCACCGACGCTGGGCGCCTCGTGGTTGGGCGCGGTCGTCCCGAGCCGTTCGCAGGCGTCCTCCTGCCGTGGAGTTGTGGCGGTTGCGTCGGGTTGGCTGCTGGGCGGCGGGCGGTACTCCCAGAGCAAGAAGTCCTGCAGGAGTGTGTTGACCGCCTCGGGGCATTCCAACATGACCATGTGACTCCCGTCCTCCACCGCCTTGAGAAAGGCGATCAGCAGGATCTGGATATGAGCACAGAGAGTTATGAGCTCGGGACATGATTCTCCTCGTGCGTGGAACAGCATTGCATTGCTGTTAACATTTAAAAACTATTCCTCTCCATTCAGTGTTTAATTGGCAGCTGTTGGATTTACCAATTGAGCACTGTAAATGTAAGCGCTTTTGAACTATACCCTTTTCCACGGTAACATACTTGAATATGATGCCTACTTTAAATAATGCCTTTCTAATCTCACGAACATGTTTGCTATCTGCCATCTCCTTTAAAATATATATTTCATCCCATCGGGCTCTTGCCTGCTTAAAAGATGTTTGTTTCATTATTTTGAATAAAAACAAATAAAGACTATCGTGTGAGAATCTGGAAATATAAGGTACACAGGCCACTTGAAAGACTGTTCTGGTAGCCCTGCCTATGGCTCCATGACTCTCATTATACTCACCCATGGTTACTTTTCTGACCACCAAGAAAGCTCTTTCTCGCTAGTAGAAAGACATGGTTGGCATGGACCCAGGTGCAAGTAATTAAATCTTTGCCTTCTTCGCAGCCAGACATCTCAGCCTTTTCTACGCCACCGCTTCCTGTCCATCTGTGTCCTCACTTTTCACCTACCCATAATGCTTTTATGCCACCCGTGATTCTCTTCTTCCCACCGGTGTGCTAACTTTATGGTCACTCATAGGTCCCCGTCCGTGCACCGGTGACTCGATTTCCGACCGAGTGGTCCACAAGCTCCGTGCGTGTGCCCTGCTTGGGTCCACACACCCCACTTACCTCGGCCATGCGCTGGTCCTCTTCGATTGGTACGAAGCGGTCATGCAAGCCGTGCACAATGAGCGTGGGCACGGTGAGTGCCGCATGGTACAGCTCGTCGCCCTCGGGCCAGTACTGCCCGCTCATGGTGGCGCGCAGCACCAAGGGCGGCACGCTGAACGCGTTTCCATCCCGCAGCAGTTGCTTCTCCTTGGTGCCCTGACGTGCAAACCCGGCCCTGCGCAAACGTTTAAAAAAACTAAAATAATGCGTCGAACAGCGGTGCATCGATTAAAATGAACTGCATTCCATTCACATGCTTGTGATACGTGCACTGGAATGTATGTGTGTAAACAATCGATTATGTTCCAATGTATGTAATGGGTTAGCATGACCTCTGATGCCACTTGAGGCCACTACAATCGCAGAAATGTCTGAAAAAAAATCTATTCTTGAATGGAATCATGACCCCAAATTGTAAGAATTGAGACAGGGATGAAGCAACCGGAGGCCTAGAACTATGACCTCGTGGGACTCCACAATAACAAGGCGAAGCGGTACCCAAAGCCAAGGACGGCGCTCACTTGAGGAAGGCCCACGCCAGGCAGGGCGAGATGCAGTGAAGCAACCGGAGGCCTAGAACTATGACCTCGTGGGACTCCACAATAACAAGGCGAAGCGGTACCCAAAGCCAAGGACGTCGCTCACTTGAGGAAGGCCCACGCCAGGCAGGGCGAGATGCAGTGCAGCACGCAGGAGGGCAGGCTGAACACGGAGCACACGCTGGGCTCCAAGGGCGTCGGGCCACCGCCGTTTATCAGCACCACTTTGCACACCTGCTCTGGGTACTCGTGAGCCAGGAAGGTGCAGAACGACACGCTGGCAATGGAACGACAACAACAACAGCAATGGCGACAGGAATTAATTGCTTGGCCTTAGCGTGACATTCAGGTGCCGTCTCTCCACCATGGCCTCATGGCCTCGTCCAGCTTTTGGTTTTAAATTAAACAAACAAATAAATGAAACAGATTTTAATACTGTACGTAACTAGTAGAGAGTGGTTGTGGTAAATACGGCATAAAAAACAACGTTATTACACTGTACTTCTACACTCCTATGTGTACGCTTCCTGTGTTCACAAACCCGTAACGACCAGCGTGGTGAAGTATGGTCAAATAACCCCCATGACCCGTATAGCGTGTGGAGGCCTTTATATGGAAGTGGATTGACAAAAACAATATGAAGGTATTTTTTTGGTTTTAGGACCCAGATTATTGGAAGAAAAACCTTTATTCTTTTGTTTTTGAACTTATCATATTAAAATTCGTTTCAGGCGATTGTTATGGGAGCTGAATCTTCGGAGTACACAGTTTTTTTAGAACTCAATATTCCACATGTTTTTAATGCCAGTTTTATGCTAAATCCAAAAGAAGGTAGGAAATTCCTGTTACCAGTTACTGCTAGACTGCAACAGCCCTTTCTGATGTGGTCATGTATCCATATTATCTGTGAAATTGCATCTTTGGCTGCAGTGACAAAATCAGAGCTCTCCATTAAGATCTAATCCACATGGTTTTTTTCTCTCTCTCAACATTAAGCAAAGCAAATAAAAGGCTTGCATTTTACATGACCTGGATACAGAAGCCTGCATGCGCATGTCACGGAACATCGGGTGTCAATAAAGCGGTTAACTGTATTGGACAAGCCCGATCCACTCGGCTTGTCTAATATTGTGGAGTGGGGAACCCCCCCCCCCCCCCCCTAAACAACCTTGTCGTATAAAGCAGACACAAAGGCTGCCTTCCCGCTCCCATGCACTTTAATTTTGTCTATCTATCTAAAAGGACGGAACTGTGTGAGGACTAACTATAATCTTAATTTATTTGGTCAGGTATGTTCTAATAAGGTTATTTTATCGCGAACAAAAGCCTGAACACCAATACAATTTCGAACTGAATTAAAACCTACCCAAGCAACAACAACAACATACCTTCAGTGTCCGGACAAGTGAAGGTCTTCCGAATCGATTAAATGAACAGGACAGTAGAAGCGTGGTGCTAGCTTGGCTAATTAGGCAGAAAATCTAAAGAGGGGATTTGGAAAGTGGTGTTGACCTTCACTGGAGAGGTCATTGTGTGAGCCAAGATACTCAGGGACAGAAACATTGGCAGCACAAGACAATAACCATCACCTCCATCGTTCTAGATTATAGGCATGCAACATCACCGTCAGGGTTGGCTAGCTAGATTAGGGTTAGGGCCAATACCACTAGACTATGCACTTTTAAATCTAGATTTTAAACTAATTTCATTTGAACTGCTTTTTGTGTTTAGTCTGTTGTTCTTCCCCCGCACCTATGATTAGCACGGTTGGCTATGTACGGTGTGAAAGAAGTTAAACTTACAGTAAATCCTCTACTTATGAACGAGTTAGGTTCCAGAGGTCTGTTTGCGAGTCGATTTGTTCGTAAGTCCAACTTTACTACTCTCGATTCAAAACATGGTGAACCACATGTACATTAAACACGGGGAATTGCTTTAAAAGTTGTATAATCTCCTGTCAATATAGATGCCACTGGTTCTTTATGTTCTGCAGATGTAGATGCCACCACCGCAATCTATTGCGCGGTGGTTGAACTTACGACTCTTTGTCCGAACAGGCAACTGGACATACGGACAGGATTGTTCGTATCTCTGAACGTTCGTAAGTAGTATGTTCGTAAATAGAGAAGTCCCTGTACATACATATATACAATACTCGTTCCTATCTGGTTGGCTAATGACCCAGGTGATGGTTATGGCTAGGTCTATATCTATGGCCTGCTTAGCTGGCCGACATGCCAGGTTCAGGGTCTCTCACCCATACGAGTGGCCCACGAGGACGTTGCGGCGCTTGGCGTAGCGGCGGAAGATGAAGCGCATGTCTTCGGCGAGCGCGGCGAACGTATACGCGGCGGCGGCATCGGGTGCCGAGCTGCCGCCGTGGCCCAGGAGGTCGGGGGCCACACACTCGTAGCCCAGTGCCGACAGCGCCCGCAGCTGCTCACGCCACACCTCCAGCGAGCCGCCCACACCGTGGAAGAAGAAGAGCACCACGTCCGAGTCGGTGCCGCGGCAGCTCGTGATGACGCGCTCGCACTCCACCAGCACCGTCTTCTTGGGCTTCCTCCTCCTGGGCCAGAACCGGGGGAAGAAATTCCACGGAGAAAAAGATGCAGGTTGCGATGTGACATTTGTATTTCGTTCAAGGCTTCACTATAATGGTGTAAAGACAGTTAATCAATTCACATGGATTTAGTAATGCTATCGAATGTGCGCTTGTCTTTGGCAGTAATTTAATTTGCAGTATGGAAGTCGTTGGGTAACTGCTGTCAGGGCAAAATGCGTTTGTATGTTTGCAAATAGTCATTTTGCTTTGCTTTGTGTCTCCAAGTTTTAGATAACCCATTAAACAACTTGGCCAATTTTCAATAGAATAAGGCTCTAATATAGCGACACATTTCTATGCCACAGGTTGATTCACAGTAAATCATCTTCCAGAGTCCCCCGCTGTCACGAACGGATGGCGGTCATGCATAATGCTTTCAACCTTAGGAGAAAAGCATACAAAATTGGAAATATTGGTGGTTTAACCGTCACTAACAACTTTGGCACCTGGATGAAAATGGTTGCAGACTGTGTCATGGTGCCCATATGACCAGCCAGGTATGGACTGACCAACTCACCTGCGCCGGGGCCGTCGTGGCTGGGTGTTGCTAACCGGGATGCCGGGTGTTGGAGGCTGGGTGCTACTGGGGTCCCCGCCTAAGCTGGCCGCCGATGATTGCATGCTGCAGGCCCCTTTGCCGTGGCCAAATTCCGAGGGCCTCGTGTTGCTGTTGTTTCTGCTGTGGCTTGGCACTGGAGACCGGTTCTCGTTGCCGGCGCCGCCGGAATTACCAGTTGCCACCGGAGGCCCCGGTTCGCCCACCTTGGCGCTCAAGGGCTCGCCGCTTCCAGAGCCGCCGCCGCTGCTCACCACCTCCTCGCCTTCACCGTCGTCGGAGTTCTCGATGTACATCTGCCCATTCTTGTAGACGCAGATGCGGCGGCGACAGCGCAGCGTACAGTGCGCGCGGTCGGCTGGGTCCTCGCACGTCTCGGATCCCGGCGGGCGCTCGGGCACGGCGTGGCGGACTCGCAGCACCCGGCCGGGCCGCACCTCCACCAGCTCGAATTCGCCGCAGCCCGGCGCAATGCTCGCCGGCCCCACCGTGTTGGCGGTGGCGGAGCACGGGTTGCAGCAGAACATGGTACTGCAGTGGCCTGCAGCCTTCCAAGAAATTCTCGTCCCTCGTCCGTGTGTTTTATTCTCGCGCACTTCGGGCCCGAAGTTTCAATGGCAGGCAACAGCCCGAGCGTTATGAGGTTATAAAACGCAATGCAGTAATTACATTGCGGCCAATGCAATAATGGTGCACTTTCTTGGCATATTGATTAGACCAGCAGATTAAGAATTTGATAAGTTTTGCCTAAATCCACCTACCTCTGGAATGCCTACTGGCATAAAGTCTACATTTTGATTGCCTACCTTTGCAAACAACTTTTCGGGTGCTTAAATATTTAACATTGGCCTTTTCGTGGCTCTGCGATTGCCGACCGTTCGCAGAGTGCAATGCTTCAAGGGCTGCGCGCAACGCTGTCTGAATAATTTAAATCGTCTCTCCATGGGCAGCGCGTGGCACAGGCGAGGACGCACAGGTGAGTGGCACTCGAGTGAGTGGCGCTCAGGTGTGTCTCCTGGCTACGGCCCTCCCATTCACGCTGTCAGCTGATGTGGTTTCAGGTGTGGTGGAACCCTTAATGACACGATCCTTATCACGTTGTGACCTGGAGACATAGGGATGCACAAACAGCACCGTTAATACAATACATATATGTATTATACACAGGCCGAATTACTGCTATCAATGATAATAATATTATTTATCCAGCAAAGGCTGGTGGGTCCCTGTATTGGGATGGTTGACCAAGTCCATACAAAGTATTTTTACACGCGAGAAGAACCCTGAGTACCCACAGAAAAGCAACTATGCAGATATGAGGTTAAAGCTGAATATATATTCAGATATACGGTTGAAAATTCAACCTACTTGTTGTACTGCGATCTAACTGGCCACATCATGGCCCAACGTATTGGGTGTCTCATGCCTGATGATCAATTACAAACCAACACAAAAACAATTCATACATTGTAGCAATTATCTTATGTTGGAGGTGTGCAATGGATGAAAGTGGCATGAGATTAACTAGTGGTGGCAGGAGACCGCAGCGATTGGATAGGGGTACGAGCCATTGTTGCGGTTTATAACCGATGGAGGTGCGAGATTGTTGGGAAGGCTGATTTGTTTACGATGTAGAATATATAAACACACACACTCGCGATTGCCACGCATGTGACACGTAAGAGATCAGCGTATTCCCAATTAAATTGGGGGAGTTCCCTGTTCAGGTCCTTGGCCAAACACGATCCAACCAACAATAAGTCAGTGCCTGAACGAACGACTGCCATCAATCATCCCACACTGCGGTCGGTTCCTGTGTGCCAATTAATATGGGCAGATAAACCAAAGTGAACCAAATGATTACAAACCGATCCACGTTGACCAATTGATAGGGGATCATGCGACACATTATCAACGCTTATTCACAAATTTTGCTCTTAATATAATGAACAATTTTGCTGGTGACGATCCAGAAAGCTGTTGCATAACACGAATACAGTCTCGAGACGTAATCACTCCGTTATTATCATGATGCTATTAACTGCATTGTTATGGCATTTAGTAATTAGCGATGGACATTGTCATGGCATACGGCTAAGCCTGCGACATACATTAAAATAACATAATCAATGATACAATTATCAGAAATTGTAAAGGTCTCATTGCAATGCATACGCGAACACTCTCAATGCAAAATACGCAGATGACAAAACGTTGTGTATAATATACAGTGCAGTATATTGTACTGTACACACAAACGCGACTTACTGATTATACCAGATATGTAACGCTGTTGCAAAGCATTGTTCATTCATAACATGGGTGAAGACTGTATGGATGGATGAATAAAGGAAAAAAACAATGTCTCTACGTTGGGCATGCAGCAGGCGAGCAAAAACATTCGGTTTGGAAAACGCAGTTAACGTTAACCTCCGTTATCATCATATCGACTGCTGGACAGTCGCATCCTGAACGATTCTGCAAGGACATCATTTAATCCGCCGGCTACACACGAGCGGATTTCATCGCTCCATCTCTTTGACGGAAACGTGCCCTAGAGGCTCGGCAGGGTGCTGTTCACCACAATCGCAATAACACGCGCCGCACTGCACTTGACACAAACATTATGCGACCCGAGTCGCCTTCCACCCTGTACCATCATCACCTGCACCATCATCACCTGCACCAACACCACCACGTGCACCATCATCACCTGCACCAACACTACCACCTGCACCATCACCTGGATCATCACCAACACCACCTGCACCATCATCACCACCACGTGCACCATCATCACCACGTGCACCATCACCACGTGCACCATCATCACCATCACCACCTGCACCATCACGACGTGCATCACCATCACCACGTGCACCATCATCACCATCACCTGCACCATCATCACCACTGTCCGCACACTCCACCATCACGGCCAGATCTAGTCCCAAATCAACACCATCGCCAAGCAGCACGGCTCCGCAGTGTATACACACACAGTACAGTCTACACTGCAGCATCCACAGTCCATGCAACCTCGCATATCGCATATTAATATTGTTGTTATAATTATTTTTAAAACGCGCAGCAGGTTATATGCATTACTGGTATCGCCGATTCAATGTTATACCTCGCGCAGTCGCGTGTAGCACGCCTTGTTGCTCTTGTAGATGATAATGATGGTGGTGGTGATGATGTTATTGTTGATGCCAATGGTGGTGATGTTGAATATGATGATGATAGCGCTGACGGTGGTCAGTGGTTGTTGTTTGTTGACGATGTTTTTGTTGGAGATGATGAATGCGGTGTTGTTGACGAGACGGTGATGATGATGGTGGTGCAGTGGTGGTGGTGTAAGTGCTGCCGTTGCACATATAAAATGATGGTGATGGTGGTGTCGTGTGTGTGCGTCGTTGACGCTGTCTTCTTTGGGGAGGATGAGGAGGAGAGACGAGGCAGCCGTCTGTCTCTCTCTGGCGGTGAATGCGCAATGGCTCGGCTGCCTCTCAAGGTCAGCAGCAGCAGCAGAAGTGATTCCCCCCGTCTAAGTCGCTTCACTCCCCGGGGGAGCTGAGATCCCTCCCCCCACGACTCTCCCCCCCACCACCACTCCCCCCCACCACTCCCCCCCCCCACCACTCACTCCCCACCACTCACTCCCCCCCACCACTCACTCCCCCCCACCACCACTCACTCCCCCCCCACCACCACTCACTCCCCCCCACCACTCCCCCCCACCACTCACTCCCCCCCCCCACCACCCCCCCCCACCACTCACTCCCCCCACCACTCACTCTCCCCCCACTCACCACCCCCCTTCCCCCCATTCACCCCCACTAACACCCCCCCTCCCCCACTAACACTCCCCCCACTAACACCCCACTCACCCGCCCTTCTACCCCCCCCTCGTCTCCTGTGCTTAATCGACTTAATGCCGCGGCAGCGAGGAGGAAGATGGCTCTCGGGACGACGGTTCGATCCCGGGACCCTGTGCGGTGCTGTTGTTCGCCTATTGTCAAGTGGCCGGGTTCGTTCTCTCTGCGCTGCGAACCCGGCTGGCTGGGTTCGATTCCCGCTCACGGCCGCCAACAACCGGTAGCGATTGTCTGTACCGGTACCTGGGGCCTCTCCCCTAGGTCAACTCGGCCTCAAATGAGTAGCTGGTGCGGTGCCCGGCCTTCCACAGGTGCTGCTCGCTAACAACAGCACTTGCCCCGACAGTCTGTTAAGGCTACACGGGGGATCTTTGCCTTTGGTCGCGTGGATCTCTCTCTCTCTCTCTCCAGGGGGTTCATCCGCTGTTTGCCCTCCTCCACATTTTGTACAAACGAAAAACGTGCGTTAAGATATTCATTCCCACGTGTGATGATTTACGTAACATAAATGCACTTCGATGAGCTGTCACGGGTGGCCAGGTCGCCTCTGAAAGAATAAAAAAACGAGCTGATGACAGCTCGGTAAGATATTCTTGGTTCTTTCGGTAAAGTCACGTAGAAGGGAAACAATAAAATAATAAAATATAAAACAATAACATTCTCACGACGTTTCGACTGCAGCACAAGCAATCATCAGGTGTGAAAACCACAGCAAGAAAATTTGAAAAAAAGTGGCGTTTTTTTACGTTAGCACCACGGAGAGCGATTTGGCAGTAATTCAGATGGACGAGTCCATCTATGTTCGGAAAAGAGGAGGGGGGAGACGAAAATAATGGATGCGGTCTGAAAGCCACCGTAAGCGTGAACAATCAGTTAAGACCCGAAATGGTTTATGATATCCTTCCAATGATTGCTAAGCCATAATCCATCTTCTCGGTTTAAATTGTCTCTGTGTTTGTATATGTGGTTAGCCTCATGAACGAATCTCTCATGGTAGCCAGATGGCTTGCAGAGAACCTCTGTCTTGGAGAAGTCAGTAAGATTTTAAAATAGGTTGGTTTAGGGGCCGTCCATAAATGACGTCACGCACCTAGGGGAGGGGGGGGGTCAGAGATTTGTGACGATGTGTGACGAGGGGGGGGGGGGGTTGAGAAATGTGACGTCACATCAAAATGCGCAACTTTAAATAAATATAGACAACACGTTCTACTTAATGAAATAGACTTTTTAATAAATGTTTTCTCCTACAACATCAGAGTGCAGCGCCACATTAAATACGTACTACAATGACAATAGTTTAAAGCGATTTGAAGCATGTTTTATTTGGGGGGGGGGCAGAGCTTTGTGACATCATATTTGAGGGGGGGGGGTCTGACTTTTTGTGACGCCGTGTAACGAGGGGGGGGGTCAAAAATCTCCAAAATCGCGTGACGTCATTTATGGACGGCCCCTTAGTGGTAAGTTCAGCGTGGATGGCCGGTGTCGGCGAGGTATGGAATAAGCCACCCACCCCCACAACACCCCCAACTTACTCCACCCCACCAACCCCCCCTTGGCTGTATTCACACAACTTCCACGTGCTTTATCTAATCAATATTTATACAGTGCACTTCACATCATCAGCACGGGGCATCTCGGCGCTTTACATAACATCATGACCGTGTGTGCCTGAATTCCAAACACTTTTATAGAATCTTCTCGTTTTGTACGGCTGATGTCAGTGTCGGATGGAGCTAGTGCGGGGCCTGTAGCATATGTTAAAAGGGGCTCTAAATTTAAAAACGCATAAATATTAAAACACAAATGTTTAACTTGCATAGTAAAGTAATTGTATTTTTTCATTTGCAAAACAGCCAGATAATACGACAAATCGCTAACCTTAAACACCCAGTCGTTCATAAAAGTTGAAGGCGGTGTTGTACTATAGTAATAGAGCAAGTGCAGAATCACTGAACCGGAATTGATGGCTTGAAAGCATTTAGCGCGGGGCCCTTGAAAGTGCGGGGCCCGTAGAATTTGTAGCTACTCTTGCTACGAGGATAATCCGGTTGACTAAAAGCAAAGGTCAAAGCAGATAACAAGGTCAAAGCAGATATCTAACTCGCCTATTTACGTTAGAGTACACGTACGTTGAAATTATTTTGCACCGTACGTAGCCACCATGCTAATCGGAGGTGCGGGGGAAAGACCACGTATTCGTAGTTTTGCACGACAGTATACAAGTACAATCCATAAATTGTACGTACATATTCACACAAGTGATGTGTCCTCTTTGGAGGGTTCTTATACGGGGGAATCTGAACACGGGTGATGTTTTTCTGGGTGTAAACTTGGAATGGGATATCTTTCACACCAATGTTTATACATCGTTCACTCGCCTTCCAATTCCTGCTGGAGCAATCACTCCACTTACAATACAATGTGATATTGCGTTCCATGCATAGTTAACCGTGCCCTGTCCACTTCTGAAGGCCTCTCCACGTTGTCGCCACCTGTATGTTTAACATACAGTAACATACATGTGTAGAGGAGTATTGTGAGTAACCAGTGAGGGGGCGAGCAGAAGGAGGTGCGAGTGGGTTGAGAGTCATGCGGGGCCAAGGATGATGTAACGTCACGGGTTTCGTAAGAGGCTTTCAGAAAGCACTTTCAGGAAAGTGGACGGGGCTGAGCTGGGGGAAGGAGCCGCCCAAAGCGTTCTTAAGGGGGACCCCGTGACGGAGGCGGGGTCGTCGTTGGGGGCCAAGGTAAGGTCCGGCTGGAGTGGGGTCTCTCTCCTCGTCGCGGAGCGGTGTTGGCTGATCCCTCGCTCCGGGCAGACGAGCGAGAGAGCCAAAGGGATAGCCAGGATAGGGTCCAAATAGTTATTCAGTGTCCGTGTGAAGGACGGAGATAGAGTGCACCTACATGGGTGCGAGTGTAGGATGGCGAGTGAGAAAGTGTTTTAATAAACGGCAATAGCCATTATAGTATTCGTCGCCACGTGGTTGTACTGCACAACACGTGCAGTGTAATAGCGCCGGCTGGTGGACATCAGCGGCAACTGTGGCGGACAGATAGTACACACGCCGGTGAGGGAGTGCACGAGGTGTATGCAGAGGGAGCAACTAGGGTAAGGGTCACAGAGGTCCCCATTTGGAGGCCCCTGGAACCTGCTCGCGGCTTCGAGAAGGGAGGCGCGGTCAGGGCGGAGCCAAGCCGCACTGGTAGCATAAAAGGAGCCGAGAGCGGGGGGCTCGAGGCTGCCGGTTCTGGGAATGGACTCGCCTCGTCGTCGCTAAACGTCTCCACTAGGTATTGCGCTCTAAAGGATAGTAGTTGGCTATCTGTCAGCGCCGTCAGTGTTAAGATGGCTCTTGTTATGTACAGGCTAGGCTTAGCTGCTGTGGAGTGTGTGCAGACGGGACCGTGAAAGTGCCTTCTAAAAACTGTCTCTGAATCGTGGACACTACACATGTTGAACTTCTTTTGCACCGTACGT